TTTTTTCTCTGTCAAAGGGAATAATAGCATTTTTCCTCTGCCAACCGGAATAATATCATTCATTCTTTACGAACAGAAATAATCGCATTCTTCCACTGCCAAAGGGAATAACAGCATTTCTCCTCTGCCAACAGAAATAAAAGCATTCTTTCTCTGCCATATTTTTGTTACTTCAATTCAGATATCATAAAAATATGTCGGTTAAATACACATTAATTATTTAGAAATTACATTTTACGAAATACATACAGATATATATATATATATATATATATATATATATATATATATATATATAATGTAATCCTTAACTATTACTGCTAGTAATGCAATACTCTTCGATAAAACGAATCAAGTTCTCTTAGTCACTGGCGTGTTTATCTAAAAAGAAATACGCTTAAATTCACCTTTATCTGTGCCTGGTACCAAAGACTTAGGGCTAGTTTCTCCGACTGACGCCAATTCAATCGGGTTTCGATCCTAGCCAGAGGCAACCTGACGTCTAGCCACATTGATTAGCTGTGATACAGCGAAACAGTCTTTGGATAACAATATATATATATATATATATATATATATATATATAGAGAGAGAGAGAGAGAGAGAGAGAGATCCTCATGTCCAAACTTCAGAGTGATTTGTATATTCGTACGTGCTCGGATATAATGTCCCATGTGTAATATAACTATTGCTTAACAAAACGCAAGAACTTTTCACAATATGTGAAAAATTATGTTTCCCACGAAAGAAAATATTAATTTGCAATGTTTAATACTCAATAAATTTTATTTTCAATTGCCTTTCTTTTTTCGTTTCTCATGTCGTTTAATTTTCACTGTTCTAGTTTTTTTTAAGCAAGGTATTTCTACAAATGACATACGACTGAACAAAGATTTTTTTTTGTCTATGAATTTGATAACCTCATCAATAGCTTTTCCTACTGACTTCCAGTCTTCTTCCTCATCTTTCATATTTTCACCATTATCGGAAGAATTTGAAAGTTCTCTACTGCCTTAACCAGATATTCATACACAGATGTCCTCAAGGACACATGGCACAGTGGTTAAAGGCAAAAAGTGTGAGTTCAATACCCGGTTAAGGCAGTGGAGAACTTTCAGAGGGAAATTAACAGGAGATGACTGATAACTGACACCCATCAAACATGGCACGTGGAACTAAAACAGTCTGCCCCAGTGAGCGAAATAAAGGGTTCAGTTAGACATTCCAAACACCTGAATAAGGCCGGAGCGTACAAGGGCCGAAACGTTGTAATAAATATGGCGACAAAGATGAGGACAATAGTCCGAATAATGTAAATAATGTACATAATAACTCATCACAGAAATATAGAAAGATACTGAAGGGCCGAAAGGTTGTAATAAATATGGTGACAAAGATGAGGACAATAGTCTGAATAATGTAAATAGTGTACATAATGCCTCATCTCAGAAATATAGACAGATACTGAAGGGCCGAAACGTTGTAATAAATATGGCAACAAAGATAAGGAAAATAGTCCGAATAATGTAAATAGTGTACATAATACCTCATCTCAGAAATATAGAAAGATACTGAAGGGCCGAAACGTTGTAATAAATACGGCGACAAAGATAAGGAAAATAGTCCGAATAATGTAAATAGTGTACATAATATCTCATCTCAGAAATATAGACAGATTCAGCAATCATTGTTAATTTGCAAATTCAACAAATTAGGGGATTCGTCCAATTTTTTTAAAGTCTTTAATTTCTGACATAACGTGAAAGAATTCCTTTTTCTTTTTCTTCCAGTTGTAGTTTCTTCTGTGCGAGACATTATGGGTTGAGAAATTTCAATTTACTAACAATTATCTTCAAAGAAAAGAAAAATATTAGAATATGTGTAGCATATTTCTACACCATTGAGAAGTGACAACATTAACAATTTCGGATATGACGACATTTAATTAAACCCAAAATAAAAAGAATTTATATTTACTAAAATTTCAACATATATTTTTCATTGTTTGCCAATTGAAGACATGTTTAAATTTTACAACTTTGGATATTACTGTTAATTATTAATTTTTAACTGTTAATTTTTAGACTTTTCGGTCGTTGAACGCCCCGGATCTTTCTACATTTTTTAGATGAGGTATTGTAAGTATTTACACTGTTTACATTGTCCGGGCACTTGTCCTCATCTTCATTGTCATATTTACGACGTCTCGGCCGTTGTACGCCCCGGCCTTATTCAGGATCTGTCTACATTTTTTAGACGAGGTATTGTAATTATTTACACTATTTACATTGTTCGTACAGTTGTCCTCATCTTCATTGCCATATTTACGACGTTTCGGTCGTTGTACGCCCCGGCCTTATTCAGGATCTGTCTACATTTCTTAGATAAGATACCATTGTTTTCTGATGGCTCTGCTTCTAGGAAAAATTTTAAGTTACTAACAATTATCTGCAAAAAAAAAAGAGAATATTACAATGTAGCATATTTCTACAACATTGAGAAGTGACAACATTGACAAGTTCGGATATGAAGACATTTAATTAAACCCAAAATTAAAAGAATTTATATTTACTAAAATTCATACCAAAATTCAGAAATTTCCTTTAAAATTTGTTCAAAAATGCATTTATTTTTATTTTTTGCCTTACGTTTCCAAGAAATAAGTGTCTGGGGGCACGGTGAATAGCGGCTTGGATTGGAGGAATCGGAGAGCCGAGTTCGAATTCCATTCGAATCCATTACATTCACTTACGTGCTAATACCCTTGAGAAAGGTATGAATCCTCTTCTTACACAACCCCACCTCGCAGTTATGGGTAAATAGCAGGTCTGTCAGTTGGAGTCAAATATAACTCCAACATCTTCATAGCAAGCTAACCAAATTCCGATTTCACATTTATAATTTTAAATGAGTGCGAAAAATTTAATAAAAAAAAAAAAAAAAAAATTTATAATTTCTTGGGCTGAATTAATTTTTGTAATAAGTATCTTTACATTATTTGGGATGAATTAACAGTTTATTTTTTTAGTTATATCTGAAATTTTACACACACACACACACAAAGTCCAACAATTATTTTAAGACATGTTTATACATTCTTTTTATAGATACAAATAATTAAGTAAATGCTCTGTTTATAATAAACAGTATTAACAAGATTTACCGGCCTGAATGTCCGAGAAATTGTAATAGAAAATATGCGTCCTCCGACAGGAATCGAACCTGTATCCTACATGAAATCGTCATATAGCCTGCGATGCTATTTAGCTACACAGGAAGTGTCTGGTTAGCAAAGTCAAAAATGCATTTATTTTTATTTTTGCCTTACGCTTTAAAGGGAACTCAGAGAATAATTGACAGTCATACTACGATGAGTTCCAAACATGGATTTTTTTCTTCATTTTGGCTTTTCTGCCAAGTACTTTCGATTATTTATGGATGAGCTGATGTTTCTGGCTCAACAAAAATTCATACTGGGATTTACAATCAGATGAATAGAATTGGGATCATCCTTCAAAGATGTCTATCCTTTCCAAACAATCTGACATAATCCTAGTCCCAGGTAAAATACAACTTCGGATTATGTCCACTAATGTGGAGGCAGTTCTATCTGGCAAACAGTACATGAAACATTACTTTAGTTCAAGACATATGCCCCAAAATACCAAATGGTTTGTCAGTTGGAGTCAAATATAACTCCAACAACTTCATAGCAAGCTAAACAAATTTTGATTTCAAATTTATAATTTTAAAAGAGTACCAAAAATTTAATAAAAAAAAGAAACAAACTTTGTTTTAAAATTTATAATTTCTAATGGTGAATTCATATTTGTGATAAGTAACTTTACACTATTTGAGATAAATTAGCAGTTTATTTTTTTCGTTCTATATGAAATTTTACACACACACATACACATATATATATATATTATGAAATAGACTAAGTTCGACAATTATTTTAATATATTTTCTGTTTATACGTATTTTTTATAGATACAAAATTGGAGTAAATTTATAATAAACAGTATTAACAACATTTACCGGCCAGAATGTCCGAGATATCTCATAAAACATATAAGTTCTCCGACAGGATCGAACCTGTATTCTATACTGAACCGCCATAGCTACAAAGAAGCGTCTAGTTAGCAACGTCAAATTACTGTTTTTAAACAACAAATTTCCCATGATATTTCTCGAATGTTCATATCTGCTTGAATCGTATCTTAACGTAAAGAAAAGACTTAATATTCTGAAATGGATTAAGTCCGACAGTTATTTTAATATATTTTCTGTTTATACGTTATTTTTATAGATACAAATATTTCATTAAATTCAGCACGGTTAATGTAGTTAATACTGTCTATATTATATTGTTATAATTTATTATATTAATATATATATATATATATATATATATATATATATATATATATATATATATATATATATATATATATATATATATATATATAAATATATATATATAGAATATATATATATATAATAGCAAATTAGGCTATAGAATATATATGCGTGCGTGAGCCAGGCAGGCAGTGCAGGCAGGCAGGCAGGCAGGCAGGCAGGCACGCACGGTGGAGTAATGGATAGCGGCTTGGATTGAGGAATCGAAGAGCCGAGTTCAAATTCCAGTCG